CCCTCAGCCCAGCCTGTCCCCTCTCACATACTGGGAGCCCTCAGGGAATATCCTACTGATGGCTTAGGCCTGCTCCATGCTCCCCTTGAGGAGCAGGCCTAAGCCGCAGTCTGGCCTCCCTTTGTGGGAGGCGACTGGGCTGATCAGGGGAAGGCATCAGCCCTATTACCCCACTGCTGCAGCCACTGCCAGTCACCACAGCCAGCAAGGTGTTTTCATCAACACGGACTCCAGTCCCTTCACCATGAAAAAATGACAACTTTCTTTAGGCATTTTCAAGATGTGTCTTTCATAGGATATGACATTTCTTTATTATTATTTGTTTATCCTCACCTGAGGATATGTTTCCATTGATTTTTAGAGAATGTGGAAGAGAAATGGAAAGACAGAGAGAAACATCAAAGTGAGAGGAACACTTTGATTGGTTGCCTCCTGCATGAGTGCTGACCTGGGCCCCAGCCAGGGAAGAGCCTGCAACCTAGGTACACGCCCTTGGTCAGAATTGAACCCAGACCCTGTGGTAGGCAGGCTGAGGCATTATCTACTGAGACAAACTGGCTAGGGCAGGATATGACATTTCTTAGCCCCTCCAGCAGCAGACCTTTGTTTTTTTCTCCAGGAGTGAGGTGGAAAAACCCTAGATCACCTTCTTGGATTCTTATTACCAAAGTTACTAAGAATATTACCAGTGGCATACGGGGAGCTTAGCCAATGAACGATCAGAAAAGGTGTTTCCTCTGTAGTTCACATCGATCCCCGGCTCGGCCCCTTCCCAGGCCTAAGGCTTTAGGCCAGGCATTAGGCCTGGGCAGGGGACCCCCAGCCCCATGCAATCACTGGCTCCGCCCCTGCCCAGGCCTCAGGCCTCTGGCTGGGGCGTTAGGCCTGGGCAGGGGACCCCCAGCCCGCTCAGATAGCAGGCTCCGTCCTTTCCCAGGCCAAAGGAGCGTTAGACCTGGGCAGGGGATCCCTAGTCCACTCCGATCACCTGCCCAGGCCAAAGACCTCTGGCTGGGGCCTTAGGCCTGGACAGGGGAACCCCAGCCTGCTCTGATCGCCTACCCAGGCCTCAGGCCTCTGGCTAGGGTGTTAGGCCCCGGCAGGGGACCCCCCCAGCCCGCTCTGATCACAGGCTCCGCCCCTGCCCAGGCCTCAGGCCTCTGGCCGGGGCATTAGGCCTGGGCAGGAGACACTCAGCCCCTGCGATTGCAGGTTCCGCCCCTGCCCAAGCCTCAGGCTTCTGGCTGGGGCGATCGCCGGCTCCGCCTCCTCAGGTGGCATCTGGCGCTGCCTGCCCTGCCTTCCTGGTCCCTGATCTGCGGCCCGGATCCCGCGGGTGGCGTCTCGCGCTGCCCGCCCCACCTGCAGTATGCAAATTTAATGGCCATCTTTGTTGGGTTAATTTGCATACTCTTCTGATTGGCTGGTGGGCCTAGCGAAGGTATGGTCAATTAGCATCTTTGTCTTTTATTAGTGTAGATAGGATCTTCTCAATTGCTCCTATTTCACAAACCTTTGGGCGAGTGGTTCACTTTCAGGGGTTTTTCAAACTTTCCCTCCTTGTTATCTGAGAAAGAATCTATTACTTACCAGCTTCAATTGAACTCAAGTGCAGTGTAACAATGTCTATTTGGAGCTTACCAATGGGGGTGAGGTAAACTACGAAGAGATCATTATGAGTTGAGCAGTTAATTCTCACAGGATCCACTATAAAATACGAGCGACCTGAGGAAACCAAGGGGAATATTTTATGAGAAGTCATACTATGTCCACAAACGTTGGAGTGCATTTGCCAGACCTGAGGTCCTGGGCAAATACACTGCACTCGAGTCTGGAGAGATGAGCTGGAGACTTTTCCCTGATTCCCTTCACTGTCCCAGTTCTGCTCACCTTGGGCGTGAGCTTGGGTATCTCTTCAGTTGTGAAGCCTTTCTTTAGCCGCCCTACAGTGCCCCTCTCCCTACATACACAGTAGATAAAATCTCTCTTATTATATGCTCTCAGAGCACCATGTTCCTTTTCTTTATCACAGTTGTAATTTGTACTTATTTGATTAATATCTGTCTCTCCAACTAGACTGTGAGCTCCATGAAAGCAATGAGGTTTTGTTCTTCATTGTAACCTTAGAATCTACTTTACTGAGGTGCTCAATTAATATTTATTGGATGGATGGATGGATGGATGGATGGATGGATGGAAGGATGGATGGTTGGATGAATGGGTGGATGGATGGATGGATGGATGGATATATGGATGGGTGGACTGACTATGTTCAACTTCAATAGCAAACCTTAAAAATCCGAAATCAAACTAAATTGTCAAGGAAGATAATAAATGCATAGATTGACTTTGGGGGCTATACTTGGAGAAAGAAATCAGCAGTTCTCGCTGAACTCATAGCAAGTGGTCACTGCTCCTCTGAAAAAGCACTTAATAAATTTTAATTGTGTTGGCTCTTCAGGGCTAGAGACCAAGTTTTTCTGGTTCATCTCAACATTTTACGTGCCTACATTTAACAGGCACTTATTCAATGTTTGGGGGTGGGCAATGTTTAGGGAACAGAAGGGACCTAATCTCTTAAACTCAGTGGACCCCGATGTCCCTAGATAGATAGTGTTTGCCTTCCTCATTAGAGTTTCCTGCCTCCCCATATTTTCCCAACTTCACCAAAGCTGCTAATCTTCTCATGTTAAACATCAGAAAAGTAGAGCCCAAATTGACTAAATGACCTGTCCAAAGTTACATGCGAAGTTCATCACTGAGTAAGCATTACAACTCCAGATCTATGCTCCTTCCACGTCATTATTCTACAAAACTCTCTAGGGAAGCTGGCACCAAGCTGACCAAACTACCAGAACCTTAGTTAAAATAGCCTGGTACAAGAATTCTAAATTCTGAATTTAGTCTTACAAAAAGCAAACAAACAAAACAAAATGAAACTTAAATAGTGAGTGAGCTCTAGTCCCCATGAAACATTCTCAAGAAAAAGGGATAATTTAGACATTTTTTAAATGAGAGAAGCTTAAAATACATCAAAAGACAAAATATAACACCATGTGTTGAAAATATCTTTTTTATTATAAACAATATAAACACTTCATAATACATTTTGCAAACATAACACATTTTCTTTTCTTTGCCTGAGTTTTTATAAACAAGATCTCTCAGACCCCTCGATGGACATTCATATATTCAATAAATGCCAAGTGCCAGGCACTGTAAAAAGTACTGAGGAATTTGTTTTAAAGGGAGAGAAAAAGACATTGTTGCAAATCCTCAGGAGGACCACAATCTATTTAAACTGTTTTTCTTTATCTTGATGTCTCTGTTTTAACATACCTCCTTTCTATATATAAGATATATTTTGTCTATATCTATAAATAAGATAGCCTATATACCAAAGGTAAATTAGACAACTGAAACAATTGTCTTGATAAAAATAGGGTAAAAATGCTACTTTTAATCTTAATCCAACAATTTTATGAGAAATTATCTTAGATAATTTTTATAACAATTTTAATACTTTACTTTGATTTTTTTGAAAGACCTGAAATATTTGAATACAGAGAGATTGTTCCTCTTTATCTTCTATAAATAAGCAAAGAGATATTTGTGTTCTTTGAAAGTAGCCATTGAGTCATTGTTAAAAGTAAAATTAAACAGAATCCAAAGGCCTCATCTACTGTCCTCACTATTAGTCTCTGTCTCCTACCTTTAGTGACGTTGATGTGGCTTTAGTGTCTGTATGAAAAGGTACATATACACCCAAATCCTTCAATGCAAAACCCATATTATATCTTTGCAAAGTTGTTTACAATATATTTATTACAGACACTTCCCTTTATTTTTCTATAGCTACCATATGGTACCCCCCAAATTCTATTTTATACTATTTTATATTTTTTGACAAAGATGACTTATTAATTATATAAATGTGATATACTTATGCCTTTGCAAAATTTCCTTATAAATATATTAAAAATTATGCTAACTCTCCTTGACAAACCATTTATGTTTCATTTTTTAATGTTGGGAAATATTGTCAGTTATTGCTTCTATATAGGACACAGAAATTAAATGATCCTTAGAGAAATTGAATTTTATTACTTTAAAATTCAATGTGGTTCCAGCCACGCATAGCCATATAGATATTATATAGTCAAAGATAACTTACTAAAGCTTGTTCACAGAACGAAGCTTTCCCTGATATCTGCCCCTCCCCCACTCCCTCCTTCCCAGATCCTTGAATCCTTATCCCAAATGTTCTTCAGGATTTAAATAACAACATTTAAAAGTCACTTAACACCACAATAGGGAATTTGCTGGCATGACCCGAACAACACGGTTAGTCCAGATGCTGTATTCAAACTGTATGGGTCCGTTGAAAAAATAGATATAACCTATAAGAAAAAGACCAAAAAAAGAAAAATTAAATTTGAAAACAGTAAGGGTTTACTCCAGCTACTCTTAAAAAGCCCATTCTGCCAGATGCCATTTTTTAAAAAATATGCCAACATTTATTTATCTTTATAAACCCTGCTAACGCTTTACTATATTGCTTATAGTTTGAGGGGGAAAGGTCTAAAGTTTCCCAGCTCACCTAAATTATCACCTCAAGTTAGTTGTCTTTTCATGAGTTCTTGTTTTGATGCCTGAAGTATTGATATTAGTTATTTATTTTAAGTTGGGGGTTATATCCCTTCTCATAATTAAAGTAAAAATCATTATACAATTATGATAGCCATTGATCTTCATATATAAAGTACTCCCCACTCTACCCCTCATTTGAATTATGGCAATACTCCTGCATCTTGGCATCTTTAAGCATGGTTTTAGATAGTGTTTAAGGTTTGACAATCATTAAGTAAAATTCTCATTTATGCTAAGCATGATATTTTTTGCTTGCTGTCTGTGGAAGTAGTCACACGGACGGACTAACTCCTTCATGGCAACATTTATGAGCACATCTAAGTCCTATATAAAAATCCTTTATAAGGGAATGAGTTTGAGGGACTATAGAGCACTCCATTATGGCCAGTGCAACGGAATTAGTTACCATTTTTCTCGTAGACAGCATCTACATTATCACCGATTCCTGGGAAGTCCTCTTCTATTAGTCTGGGGTAGTCTTTATCCATCAGATGGTTAGTATCATCATAGCTATTTAATAAGAAGAAAAAAAACCTCTTAAGTAGGTTGTATTTCTTAGAAAGTACTTAGAAATAATACATTCGATATAATGGTCTCTTTCAAAAATTGACAAGTTTTAAAATTTTAAGTTCATTTAAAACATCTAGTAGATTTTAAAAATAAGGAATTACAATACTGAGTGTATAGTGGATGCCTGGTGAGTATTTTTTGACTTGGCTTAAAGGCCATCTTTGTAAGGACAGTTACAAGCTTACTTCCATTTCACAAATTGCTTGAAAGTAGATTATTAGGAAAGTGTTCTTAGAGCAAAATCAACATATGTTAATGAATTGAATACTTTTCTGTTGTGTTAAGGATGGTTTTAGCATCTATGTGTAAAAAAGATGGTTTTAGCACAGTTGAGTTACAACCAATGGCTCAGAAAGAAGAGTGGTGAGAATTATATGAATATATGTGTATTTTCAAGAGGACTTGAAACTTGAAAATCTCTGTCTGAGAGGCTGCGTGCAAGAGCTGACACAGAACAGAAATTAATATGACAGTCCAACATTTTAAATAATGCATGAGATAATAACTTAAAGTCGTGAGAGATGGACAAGACTCACTTTGCCTCCATGACACAAGATAATGGGTCAGTAAAGATGGCAGCCATACCTCCAGACCTGGTTTCCTGAGAAGAAGAGGGTCTTTCCTGTGTCCTCGAAGTGAACAGCTGCGCTTATCTTTTTAACCTCTTTTGGAAATCCTAGTTCAGATATCTTTTTGGGATAACCTTCCAGAATGTCATAGCCATTAAGAGCCCAATATTTTCTGCCTAGAAAAAGTGAAAGGATGGTCTTATTATCCAAGGTAATCTATTAGGATTCACATAGATAGACATTTATTTTAACAAAGAAAGAACCATCTTATACATTTAAAAATAAACAAGTCAGTATTTGTTGTCCACAATTAATTATTTAGAAATAAATTAGTCAGCTTTGGTGGTCACCATATTTGTGAAACATAGAAATATGAGCATTCTTCACACAAAAAATAAGTTTTAAGATTCTAATTTCCTACTTAACACAAAAATAGCCAACCAAACATAATAATTAATTTGGCAACTTATTTCCTCTGAATATTAAGTTTAAAACTGGGTGGAAAATACATTAAGATTTCTGCATGAATAAGAAGCATGGTAGGAACAGTAAATTAGACTGAAAAGTCAAATTTTATAAGAGATAAAAAGTTATTTCCACCTCTAAAAAATAACTTCATTATAGCATTAACTATATTAGTGAAACAATAGAAACAATGTCAGTAGAATGCTATATAACCACTATAAATTATGATCACAATGGTGGAGTGACAATTTGGAAAATTTTTTATGATTTTTATGTCAAGGGAACAGGTAGAATTTTTAAATATTCTATGAATATAAATATTTAAATATGTATATTACATAGAGTGAAGGACTAGAAAAGAAAGTGAGAAAATAGACTTTTCGGGGGGGGGGAATTATGGCTAACATTTTTTCAATTTTTCAAAATGTACAGTGTTATAATGCTTGCTCAGTAAATGACTTTTAAAAGGAAATAGAAAAAAATTGACATGATTGCTATGAAACAAAAGTGGGTATTCATCATATAGTGTATGTATATGTATATATGTATATGTGTATATATACCCTTATATACTTATCATAGTAATGTAGACTTCCCATTTGTCAAATCTGAGGATACTTGATAAAAAGTTTTAGGTGCTTTCTCTTTTCCATTTTGGTATACTTGATTCTTAATTTAGGTATATTTTCAGGAGTGATCATTTTACTAAGTATTTGGTATCATCAAGTTTATCACTGCCTACGTGGGAGGCCTAGCTAGTGGAAAGCTTACCTCTAAAGATGAAGATAAGGTCATGGGAGGGATGCTCATATGCAGCATCAATACGGTTGGGAAGTTCTGGCCAAAAGGATTTTGTTAGAAACAGCTCCGCGTCAACCTGCTGAGGATGCAGGCGCCAGAAGAATCTAACACAAAAATAAAAATACAGTTTTCTGTCACTTTGTAAGTGCAGTATTTCTATCCTGCTAGACACCTGACTCTATATCAATGCAGACAAGTTAGACACATTCTCTATCGCCTGTGAAGGAGAAAAGCATTTCCCTTTAAGTGCCAGTTATCCAAGCTGTTGCTATCCTAACTCTAGCCTGCAGTACTCAAATTTAAAGTCTCACAGAGCCTTTGTGAAGGCTATAAAGTCCTTTGTGGATTGGGACCATGCTTTGCTCAAGTTTGCAGATCTTGCAGGTGGAAAACAAATATACCAGGCACTGTGTAGGGCTCTGGAAAGAAAACACGAGTTACATAAACTGCATCAGCCAAGGTCTCATGGCCTGGGGAACCTGAATGAGAAAATACCTGGGGTATAGTACAGTGTCACTAGAGCTGTAATAGAGGGTATAGAAATGCTAGCGGGTCACAGGTGAGGGAACAATTAACTGATGAATGAATAAATGAACAAATAAGCATATTTATAAGCAGATTAAAATTAAAAATTAAATATTTCGTTTTTCATTGCCTACAGGTTTAGGTTGTAAAGCATATTCCAACATGTGTACCTGGTGCAAAGTCTTTCACACCAAAAGGAATTCATGTAGCCATTACGAGTAACAGTTTACTAATATGGTAATTAATTCCAATATTTGTGTTTTTAAATAAATAAATTGGACTTACATTTTTACTTGACTACCTTTATAAAGAAGAGTAGACCAAAGATATTGAAAAATTGTACAATGCCAAGGTTATTTATTGAAAAATAAACGTTTATCTATTAGCTATTTCATCTGAAATAGGTAAGTACACTGCTCAAAGTTCTATTATGTTCACTGTTCACTTCACCATTTGGAGGTCTGACTGGATGTTTTGGCATTTTGCAGACATGGCTTCACAGATGTTTGTTACATGCAGATTTTATAAAATAATTTCAAGAATACCTGTCTTTAAAGATGATTGTTTCTCCTCGGAGACTGGTAATGGCATCGAGGGATAAGGAGGGATCACATTTGTCCGGGGTTTTGGGGTGTTTCGGGTTGGGGTCTTCATCTCCTGGACCTGCAATCATAAATAAATGAAAGAAGTTGCTGAGGAGAACCTTACTGATGACCTGGTCCTGCTAATGGAGAGTAGGAGAGGGCTCCCTCTAGGGAGGGCAGTACTAGTAAATCCTGTTCCTCCTACATAATGGACCAAATACCATGTTATCTTCCTTCCTTCCCCCAGGGTTACCAAGGTCTTGCAGGTGGGATGTCCCCTTCTGCTTTCATCCTTCAAAACCCCTTGAGATTCATTTGAAATACAAGTTTAGGTTTTTGGAGGTTGGTGATAGAAATGGGGGTGGGGGAAGATTGAGGACATTTCCCCCATGCTTTGCACAACTATTGACAGACTGCTCTTGAGAAACACATTTCTTCTTGAAGCCATTTCTGATGGCCCATCGTCCCTATGGAAGCCCTTATCTTGGCTCTTTCTCTTGCCTATTTTCCCAGCTGTTAACAACAGCTCATGTTGCTTCACCAGTTTCCCACCGTGCAGCTGTCTCTCAGTGAAAAGCCAGGCCTTCGGCAGCACTAACATGACTTGCCACGTGTTTGTAAACTTTCCACCTCACATGAGTGCAAAAGAGGTGCAGTGTACAATGACTATTCTAAACCCTTTTCTCTACTTAGTACATATGACTTCAATCGTCAAGTCCCTTGGTCACAATATTGTAGGAAGAATAATTACAAAGTGCTTGCTCACACCTACACTAGCTGTTATAGTAGATTGAAATCCAGAGGGGAGACAATGGGTTGGGTGGCATGAGCAAGTTTTCTGAGCTGTGTACCAGGAGCTTTACACTGATGCCCGTGCACTATGGCTTTAACTCTATTTTTGGTGGCTAATTTGCTTGTTTGAGTTTAGGATTAATTACTTTGTAAATATTATTAAAAATTTGGAAGGAAAAAAGAAAGAAATTTTTACAATAGTCACTGTAGATGTTGATTAAAACCTACTACAAGCCAATTGAATAGTTCTACTGTGGCAAACCATTGTGGTCGAAAGAATGCCCAGAATTTATAAAAGCTGGTTAAGATCTCCCTTTCACCCCCAGCTGTGGATATACCATTTAACTGTACGGGGCTTAGCCCTGGCTGGTGTGGCTCAGTTGGTTGGAGCATGGTCCCATGCACCAAAAGGCTGTGAGTTAGATTTTTGGTCAGAGCACATCGTAGGTTGTGGATTCAATCCCTGGTCTGGGCACATATGGGAGGCAACTGAATGATGTTTCTCTCTCTCTCTCTCTCTCTCTCTCTCTCTCTCTCTACTGTCTCTCTCTTCCCCTTTACCTAAAATTAATAAACATATCCTCAGGTGAGGATATAAAAAAAATTATAAAATCTACAGGGCTTGGTGTCTTCATTGGTTAAATGGGGAATAAAATATTTTCCCTTCTTATGTCAGAGGTGTTTTGAGAGTATCAAATGTACCTTGCAATGTATAAAACACAAATATAAAGAGTTATGAGAACTTTGGAGAATGGAATATTTTCTACTTAAGCAGGTTGTTCTATTTGGAAAGAATAAGTGGACATGTTTTCCCAGGTTTTAATAACAAAGCCACAATGGCAAAGGTGGTAGTGGCAAATTCACTGATAATTTAGAAAATAAATGTATAAATCTATTTTGCTTTTAAGCTGATAAATTAAGAGTTAAGCCCTAGCTGGTTTGGCTCAGTGGGTAGAGCATTGGCCTGCGGACTGAAGGGTCACTGGTTCGATTCTGGTCAAGGGCACATGCCTGGGTTGCGGGCTCTATCCCCAGTAGGGGGCTTGCAGGAGGCAGCCAGTCAACAATTCTCTCTCATCATTGATGTTTCTCTTTCCCTCTCCCTTTCTCTCTGAAATCAATAAAAATATATATTTTTTAAAAAAGAGTTACCATAGAGAGACTGGATCCCTTGCGTATCGTCATCAGGAAGCACGAAGTGGCTTTTGCCAGTGTAGGTATAGACAGGAAACATGAGTGCTCCTGGGTCCTTGGAGTGGTCGAGACCTAAGGAGTGGCCAAACTCATGGGCAGCAACAAGAAACAAGTTGTAGCCTGTAAGGAAACAAGGAAACAATTAGAAAACAAGGTCTTCCAATGAGCAGTTAATGGAAGAAATGTTATTTTCCTCATCTATTTTGTATGTCATTGTTCCTCTCTCTTTGCTATTTCACTCACTTTTTAAAATTAACGTTCAGTTGCTTGAAGGAAGAATCAAGATTAATCTTATTTATAAAGATTATTTATTAATCTTTATGAATAAGTTAGTGCTCTCATTATAGTTGCTTACATAATTAGAATATCAACAGATTGCTCTCAACCACTTGGTAATAAGAAGAATTTACTAGCAATCCTGACTTGTTCTCGGTTTTCTCGGGTCAGGTGAGGAGAGTGAACAGTGATGACCTTAAATGAGGAGTCGTGGGAGTCACATGGGGGTTCAAACCGGGTGGAGGCAAAGGTAGGTTTACAGTTGTGAGTATATATGTGAAACACTGAGTTTATTCTTGTATTATTATTTATTAACTAGAGGCCTGTTGCACGAAGAGATTCGTGCAATAGGCTTCCTTTCCCCTGGCTGCTGGCACCGGTTTGCCTCCGGCACCGGGGGCCCAGGCCTTCGCTCTGGCCGAGTTCTGGCCGGAGCCGGCCCTGGAAACGTCAGGCCTCCTGCTCCACCAGCCCTCATCTTTGTTGGTGGTTAATTTGCATATCACACTGATTAGCCAATGGGAGGCATAGCAAAGGTATGGTCAGTTATCCTGTTTGTCTATTATTAAATAGTATTATTGTATTATTTTTCCATACAAACAACTGTAAACTTACTTTTGCCCCATCCTGTACTAGTATGTAGGATGCTATGTAGAACATAATTGAAATACTAGGCAGTATCCAAAAGGATGATTACCAGGGATGGAGTGTGTACTAAAGAGGGTCTAAGAATCTACTGTGAACAAATTCCAAACAAACAATCCTTTTCAGAATATCTCTAGACCCTACAGTTTAAAGAAACAGAAATCCTTACTAGTAAAATGATTGGCCAACCCCCCTCTACTTTAAAAGACTACTATGATTCTGTATTTACATTATTTTCTTTAAGTCATTCTTTCCACCAGCTTATTAGCCTCGTAATACTGGTATTTTAAATTGGAAAAAGATAAAAAGTTTAAAAGAAAAAGAATACATGAAAACTGGAGCCAGTGGTTTCAGATTGACCTTAAATTCCCTTTGCTACCATAGCCTATGCATGAAGAAAATGGATAATTAGCTCAGTAAATGTTGCAGGCCAGAAGAGCAAGCAAAGTTCACATAATCTGAATGACAGTAATTTGTCATTGAAATGACTAATAATGGATACCATTTTTGGCCTTTAGCTGAAAAGTTAATCCTGGTTTACCTGTGGATTTACCAGGATTAATTAAATATTTTAAACCCAGAATTTATTCAGAAACCTAAAACTGAGGTTTATTGTGACTCTAGCTTCTATCTTAAAAATACTAAATATTATTTTTTCTTCCTAAAGCCATTCTTACCTGTGGAATATTCAGAACATAAATATGTACATTCTTATCTTTCTTTCCAAAGACAGATTGGAGCCACTGGAGTTGAGACATTAATCATTCAAGGCCCAATTTTACTCTTTGAAAAGATACTACCTTGAATTTAAATGAATAATAAAAATTAGCTATCTATGAAGACTACTTTTAGTTGTCACAACTAAGGGTCAATACAGCTTCAAAGTTAAGACCTAGGTGTAACAATTTGTGGTGTGTTTTTTTTTGTAGGTTTCTTTCTGAAATAAACATTTCCAATTCTCTTGAGCCTTGAAGATTCAACTTCTGACTGGATTTATTCAAAGCTAAGTTTTATTTTTCTCTGTTAAATACAACTTTCATCTGGTCCATTTCATGCTATTTTCAGTAAGAACTTTCTTGGTTTCTTAATGGTATTTATAAAATCAATGATATAGACAAATCTGAAATAGGTAACTCTTATAACAGGGAACATAAATTTGACTGGAGTTGTACCATTAATATTTCCATCAGTGGGTGGGAAAGAAACTATTTCAACTCACATCCAATTCATCTATGACCTACATATCCAGCTCTAATAGTTTTTAGATGTATATTTGTAACAAACTGTATTTCTCTAACAGACCAAAAGGTAATCCACAGTAAAAACACCTTGGTTGACAGAAAGACATTTTTGGTCCTATTTCAAAGTTAGTTAGTGTCCCTCAAATCACTAAACTAAGTAGATTTTGCTCATTTTTTTACTTTTCACATTGGTTAAATAGAAATGTCAGAGAAATGTCATTTGTGGAAATTAATAAGATAAGCTTTTTACTTTTGGAAAATCAAATACCAAATATAATTCATATGTTTTTATGTATAATGTATATACTTTTTAACTTCTTATTAATGGTCTAACCTAGTAATCATTAATTATATCTTTATAAGAAATATTACCTTTGGAACTACTTGTCCAAGTTTCATCATCATCAAAATGGGCATCTCCTCCGTAATTTGGCCCAGGAGGAAAAGCATGAGCCAGCAGACCAGAGGGGCCATCAAAAGGGTAGAAGTCACCATGCTCTGCACAAAAGCAAGAGTTCAGAATCTAATTATACCCAGTAGTGCCTAACACAGCAGCTCAGTGAATTTTTGTTGAATTTCGTAAAAAGTAATGGATGACTTAAAGAAGAAATTAAAAACTAAGAGCCAATTAAGGAGCAGAACATACAAATATTTCAAAAGTGGTTCTGCATCATTACCTTTAGTTCCAAAAGAGATCATGATATCAGCAGTGCCATTGTGAAGTCTGGTAAAATTCAGAGGTGTCACATCAGACCAAACTTTGAAGGCTTTTTTGAATGCCTTTTCCACTTCAGAATGAGTCATGTCAGGGGTATAATTCACAATTCTATTCAACAGAAAACGTTTCAATTAAATTTTTAGAAGGTGAAAACTATATTAGAATATGTTTTCTTAGAATATAGCTTTTCAACTCAAAATGCAACGATTCTCTAAAAGTTCTTTAATAAGTTTTAAAGAACTTACTATGATGTCATACAAAGTTTTAAAATGAAGCATTCAATCAGACATTATGAGTATCTCCAAATATCTAACCTTTTGGCATTTTACATTTAAAGTATTCAGATGTTTAATAAAACTTATATTGCATGCTAAAAGTTTACAATTGTATTGCTATAGCCTAAATAGATGAAATAGTTCTATAAAGTTTGTAGAAAGAGTAGAACTCTCTCTTTTTAGTATTGTTATAATAAATATGCTTGATGCACTATATTTGCAAATTTTATTAAACTTAATTTATTTCTATTTTGATTCATATCTAAGAGAAATACTTTGAAATTTCCAATAAAAATTAATGCTGGTTACGATAACATTAATTGATGTTATGAGACATTTTCATCTGTAGCTTATGCTGAAAATTAGACATTTACTACTATATGAAAACTAACAAAAATTAAAGAGACATAGCCATTGATTTACCTGTAGGTTAAGTTCATTTTGGACCATTTGAGAGTTCTAGGGAAAACATTGTATTCACCCACATCAGGGACCCCACATCTTGGTTTTTTCATGATGTCTAAGGTCTTATCGTCAAGTTTGCCAGTCACCTCCAAGCCAAAAAAAGACTGCATTTCTCGAAGCCTGTCAACCATGGAGCTTGCTGCGGTCTTCTTCAGGATGCCAGCGGGGTTCAGGGGATGGTAGTATGATCTGAGGTAGCGCTGGAAAAGAGACCAAAATACCCTGCTTTTAAAAGAGAAGGGCATTTATGATATATTTCACACCACTGGGACTGGCAAGATACTCTACCTCTGCATATTGGAAGTCTTCCTCAGACCGATCGTCGTCATCCTCATCATTGGGAAGGGGCAGGGACCAACAAGGAGTCCAGCTCAAGAAGAGGAAGGCAGCCAGGACACCTGAGTGCATCTTGAATGGCTGTGCCTGCAGGCTGCTGTCTTTCCATAGACCAGCACCTTTACTTTTATAGACCTACAATGGTGAGTCATCATTTATGGACAAGTTTCAACTTCCTGGTCTGTTGAAGGTAAACATGCTTACATGGCGACTTTTTTTTTTTCTCCTAAGAAGTGTGGTTTGTGGTAGAATTTGAGGGAAATGTAAAACGAGGGCATCTCTCATTTCAGCAGGGTCTCAAAAACCAGCTGGTCAAATTAACGGCCTCAGCATATTTACGGATACTGTGGGAAGAAACAGAGAACAGTAAATTTTCACTTCATTTGGCAAAAATGTTTTTCCCTTTGTAGGAAAGCAGCCACTTTTACTTTTTCAGATAAAACTATCAAGATAGCGCACTTCCATAAGAAAAAAAAGAGAAACCTGTCCTACTTCCAGAATGTTTATAATCTGGTGAATTCTCAGCTTTATTTTCTCCAGAGCAGCTACTTTGGAAATATCATGTCTACCTGAGGGTCATGGAATTAGACCAGAACCAAGCTTGATTGATGTTAGATAGAATTGAGTGCTGTGGTTGGAATTTTAAAGCACAGTGTGACTTCTCAACGAACATGGGATCCTGCATGAGTTCCTCACAGGTCCAGGCAGAGGTAGAAGGATATCCTATATAATAAACCCTAATATGCAAATTGACTGAACAGCAGAACGACAGGTTCCTATGACACACACTGACAACCAGGGGGCAGACGCTCAGCGCAGGAGTTGCCCCCTGGTGGTCAGTGTGTTCCCACAGGGGGAGCACCGCTCAGCCAGAAGCCGGGCTCATAGCTGGCGAGCTCAGTGGCTGTGGCAGGAGCCTCTCCTGCCTCTGTGCTAAGGACTGTGAGAGGGCACAGGCCAGGCTGAGGAACCCCCTCCCAGTGCACGAATGTTGTGTACTAGGCCTCTAATATTGAAATAAAATATATTGGGATGCAATATAATTGCTAACACATATTGAGGCATTACTACATGCTAGACTTAAAAAGGTATTATCTTACTTAATCCTTACAATAGCCTTATGAAGTAAGTACTATTGAAAAGCCTGTTTTCACTTTACATCTGAATAATCTGAGACATAGGGAAGTTAAATACTTGTTTCAGGCCATATGGTTAACAAATGTAACTACTAGCATATGAATCCAGGCCAGTAGACTCAAGACTTCTTCTTAACCACCATCTAATATGGCATCTACCCCATCCATTCTCAGATATTTTCTTCTTATATTTTTAATTCCCACCTGAAGATATTTTTCTTTTCTATTGATTTCTAGAGAGAGTGGGAGGGAGGGAGGAGGGGGAGAAAGAGAGAGAAACAGCAATGTGAGAGCGAGACACGTCGATTGGTTGCCTCCTGCACTTGCTCTTACCAGGAGGCAACCAATCAATGTGTCTGCAATAGGGAATCTGCAACCGAGGTATGTGCCTTTGACTAGGAATCCAATCTGTGACCCTTCAATCCATAGGTCGA